ACATGCTCCCAGGAGCCGGGCCGGGCCGGGCCAGGGCGGCGGCCGGCACCAAGCAGGGTGAAGGCCCAGTGCTGAGCGTGGCGCCGGGGAGGACTGCAGACCCAGAGCGGGGGGCCGGACGCCCCTGGGGCGAGTGGCCGGGCCCAGCCAAGGCCTGGAGAAGGGCTGTTTGTTGGCGTTGAGGTGTCCAGAGCTGTTTGGGAATTTAAATGACCGAGAAGTGACCTGGTGTCAGCTCGGGGATCTGGGGTGTGAGGACCCGGTGGGGGGGCGCCGGCCGGCCTCGGGGACCTGGTACGGGCGCGCTGGCACCGGCAGTGGAGCAGCTGGGGGGGCTGGGCTGGGCGGGGCCGGTAACGCCCGCCTCTCACCCCCAGAGCCGGATGGCGGAGAGCTTGCGCCTGTTCGACTCCATCTGCAACAACAACTGGTTCGTCAACACCTCGCTCATCCTCTTCCTGAACAAGAAGGACCTGCTGGCCGAGAAGATCCGGCGCATCCCCCTGTCCGTGTGCTTCCCCGAGTACCGGGGCCAGAACACCTACGAGGAGGCCGCCGTCTACATCCAGCGGCAGTTCGAGGACCTGAACCGCAACAAGGAGACCAAGGAGATCTACTCCCACTTCACCTGCGCCACCGACACCAGTAACATCCAGTTCGTCTTCGACGCCGTCACAGACGTCATCATCCAGAACAACCTCAAGTACATCGGTCTGTGCTGAGAAGCCCGTTGGCCTGGGCGGAGCCCCGAGGCCACCAGCCCCCACGTGCTGGGAGATGCGGCCCCGGGGCACAAAGCGGGGGCCCCAGAATGTCCCGCTGCCCCCACTCCCAGGCCTCTGGGGTTCCACAAACATAAATATATGCGGATAGATTGCTAAGTAGACACACACCCACACACCCACACACACACACACACACAGACGTGCGCCTGGAGGTGGCGGGTTCCCCAACGCTCCGGGGTCTCCTGAAGACTCGGGGGTCTGTCCAAGGCCGCAGCGAGCCCCGCCTGCCCCCCACCTTGCCTTCCCGAGTCAGCCCCGCTCTGCGCGGGGCCTGCGGGACGTCGGGAGCGCGGCCCCACGCCCAGGCGACCTGGGGAAGGCCGGCTCGGCCGGGCGCGGACCGATGACCTTTCCGCTGAGCAGAGGGGCCGGGCCAGGGCCCCCTCGTGCGCCGCCTGTCTGGAGCGGGGTGCGCGGCAGGCCCCAGCACTGGCCAGGCCTGCGGCCCCTCAGCTCGATCCAAGCAGCTTCAAAATATGCAGCAAAAATCCACAGTGACCAGTGGCGTTTCCACGGAGGCCAGCTGGGTTCCGGCTTTTCTTCTACTCGTCCGACGTTTTTATAAATCTGAACCTGTTTTTTCTTCTCTGACATCTTTTTTTTTTTTTTTTTGGCCAAATCTCGTGGTGTTTCGCAGAAATACAGAAAATCTCAAATGCAGTCGCGGATTCTTTTTTAAACGCACATTTCGAAACCTGTCCCCCAGGTGGTGTTTCCTGTGTGGCCGCCAGCGTCCGAGCGAGCTGCCCCCGCCGCCGGCCGTCCGGCCGTGCACAGCCTGTGCGTCCTCGTGTTCCTGGTGCGGTTTCTGCTTTGTGTTTATTTCAGAAAATCGGTGTGCCGTGTTTAAAGAAGGTTCTTCACCCAGAGCGAATGAACAATGGCTTCGCGCTCGGTCGGAAGAGTCAGTGGCGCGCGCGCGCG